ATCTCAAGGATAGAAAAATTAAATATTTAACAGTAGATAATCATATTGATAAATTCTCAAAGCCAGTATTCTACATTGAGAGTTTAGTTTCGCCAAATAATTAAAAAGATGGTACACATTATAATCATTAAATTAGTACTAAGTTATATTATATATATGAAGAGTGTTGCGAAATAAGGAAACGCTTAATGTATGTTATATAGCATGAGTATTATGATATACGAAGTATATGTTACTTTTAATATGTGTATCTTTTTTTTTGTGGTTAATTTTGTACATGCATTAAATAAATTTAAATCATGACTATGTCACATTTGTAAGCTATTATCTTAACAAACCAATTGCGTGTATTTAGGGGATACTATGCTAAAAATGACATTGTCATTATTGTCCAAAGTTTCAGAGCAATTGAAATTCAAATGTTGTCTTAATTTAGGAGCATATAAGCATTTAGTTGTTGGACTTCTTAACTGACTCAAAGACATGTAAAATGAAATTTGATTCAGTAAACAAAAAAGAATATAATCCTCCCTAAAGGAGAGCTGCTTTGAGGCTTGGGCATTGAAGCTTGATGCCAATGGAGCATCTTGTTGGAACAGACTCCTCAGTTTCCCACTTGATACATTTTGGGGTCCTAGTATAGATACACTCTTCTATGCTTAACAAAGGAAGGAGAGATACTTATGGATTCTGGATAGGTTCTTATGGATTGTAATGGATTCAAAATATACCCTTACAATCTCAAGGATAGGAAAACTAAATATTTAGAAGCAGACAGTTATATTGATAAATTCTCAAAGCCACTATTCTACATTGACAGTTTAGTTTCGCCAAATAATTAAAAAGATGGTATACATTTTAATCATTAAATTAGTATGTAGTAGTTATTATATTATTATGAAGCGTGTTGCACAATAAGAAAATGCACTAAAAATTAGTAACCATTAAGTTTGATATTGCGTAGTAGTTATTATATTATATTATGTGTTTGGTGAAAAAATTGGTTGATAAGTTTGATAAGGCGAAGAATATGCTCACCAAACAGGCTCTAAAAATTGCTACCAATCGTAACCATGATGTCCTGTATTTAAGTGACATGTATATATATTATTATCTGGGCTTGAAATTGGAATATTTTTTTAAAATAACTTGACAACATGATTTTATGATATTATGCATATCTAAAATTAAAGGGAAGCATCAACTTGGAAATTTCACCACGTACAGCTAACTTGAGTACAGACGAGTTGTTTTTGAGTCTGGTTCACCACAGCTAACTTGAGTACAGACGATTGCAGGGTCTGGTAGGTTCAAACAGTGACTTTTGGGTCATTTTTATTAGGCGACAAACTAATAATGTGCTTATTATGTTGTGCTAAAGCAATTATTAGTTATGCTTCTTGCGATGATTTTTGGTTTATTCCTTATTGTACTAAGAACTTTATTATTGATGAAATGAATTAAGCTATTTCGCTAAAAAACATTTGGTAATGTAATATTCAAGTAAATAATATTAAATTAAAAAAACATTACTAATACTCAAGTAAATAATATTGGAGTAAAAACTTTTGGTAATGAATTAAGAACTTTTTCGCATTTTGCAAAATGCGAAAGTGGACTACTTTAGTTATTCTAATATAATTTTTTGCTTAATTTATTAACAAAATATATTTTAAATATAATTTTCTTATAATTCAGAAAATTCATCAGCTTAAGTCATAATTTCACCAATTACGTTAATTGTTTTATTTTGTCATTAACAAACACATTACTGTGTCTTTCCAAGCATGGTAGCAATTAACTTTGGAGCCCATGATCGATATATATAGTTACTTATCTCTCAAGTTATGAATTGAAAATTCTTTAAAAAAGAAGAGAGGTATGAATTGAAAAACCTCTTTACATGTAGTAGGGTTGGGTCCGAAAAACCGAAAACCGAATCAAATTAAATCGAATAGCAGCCAAATAAAACCGAACTACTAAAAAACCGAAACCGAATGTAAAAAACCGAACCGTAGTTGTTTGGTTCAGTTTTGGTTTTTACCGTTCAAAATCGAACCAGACCGAACAAAACGAACTAATTAAAAATATGAAATTTATTTGTTAATTGTTAAGCATTAATCCTAATTAATCCTAATATCATCAGTAGTTTTTGGTTTTCTTGTGCTAGAGAAATAATGTTTGTGTTATGTTTAGTTTAGTTTAGAGCCCGTTTGGTAGTACCAAAATCGGCTGTTTTGGCTGATTCTGCTGAAATTTATGATATTCTGGCTGGAGTGGCTGTTTTGGCTGATTCTGCTGATTTAAGAAAAAAATATTTAAAAATATATTTTATTAATAAATTAAAGAAAAAATTATATGTAAAAATAGCTAAAATGGTCCTCTACAGTAACTTCAGCCAATACAGCCAGAAAAGTAACTCCAACCTTACTTTTTCGGCTTATTACACAATTCAGCGCGCGAAAGTAAAAGTTACGTGTTTGGTGAAAAAGCTGGCTGATAAGCCTGATAAGCCGAAAACAGAGTTCTCCAAACGGGCTCTTAGTTTATAAATTCATTTACACATTCATGATGATGATATGCTTTTACTAGTTGTTAGTAGTAATTAACATTTATTTTTATGTAGCCTAAAGATTTTATATTGATAAAACAATATATATTAATCTCAACTTTTTTCGAACTAGCCACAAACAATGTAAAGTAGAAATATATATACACTTTTATCTCTCTCGCATACTCAGATAATTTAAGACATATTTATTTCTTCACATTTTTATTTTATTTGTTGTAGTGTGCTTGCATACTTTATGTAATATATGTTTGATCCCTCTAACTATTATATCAATTCAAATCAATTAACAATTTTTTTTGTAAAAAACCGAAAAAACCGAAACCGAACCGAAACAAATCGAACCAACCAAAACTGTGGTTCCAAGTTTTGGAGTGTAAAATCGAACCAAAATCAAACCGAACTTTTTATTTTGATTCTATATTTGATTTTAGGTCAAAATCGAACCGAAAGAACCGAACCTACCACTAACTTTTAGAAATTTATTCACTACACGTCTACAAGACCCGAAAAGATAGACAAATATGTGTCGAAGCATAACTACTGATTATTTTAAATTTTAAATAACAGATTGTTTTAAAATAAAGAGACTCGTGTAAATATTACTCCGTATTTAGTTCAAACACACATTTTAACTCAAACGTATGTCTTAATCTAGATCAAACTTAGGGTGTTTTTAATTAGATTGAAATTTGCCGATCTCGTCTGATCTAGTAACTGTTTGGTCTCTGTGTATTTTATAAGAATGAAAGTCTAGTCTGATCTGTTTAAACCCAATAAATTCTACTCTGTTTAAGTCCGGCCTAGTCTGTAAAAGAAAAGAGTCCAAAGTAAAAACATTATAAAGAAAGTAAGCAATTCTACATCGTCCTTAATGATCAAGCAGGAGGATTATATTATATTATTATCTAATCTATCTAACAACCTTATATTTGTGAAAGATGGTTAGTACCCTTGATTTGTGTCAACACATTTAACAAAAAAAAGTGTACATTGTACTTAGAAAATGGTACTTCACTTTTGAGGTGACTTTAATAGCCCTAACTCCTTAAACTTCCGTTACTTGATTTGTGAAGAGGTGAAAATGTTATTATGTTAAGCATTTGATGATTGAATTAGTTTTTTTTATGGGATGATTGAATTACTTTTAATAATTAAAAAGTACTTACTTTAAATATAAAAAATTCTTGACATTTAACTAAGAAATGTGTGAATTATTTATATTTAAAAATTAATATCATAGTTCAATTCTTATAATAAAAAATATATGAAAGTAACTAAAAAGCTCGTCTACACTACCTTCGGTCAATTCAATCAGAAAAGTAACTTTCAGTTTACTTATATTGATTATTATACAATTCATTGTGATAAATCAAAAATTTTGTGTTTGATGATTGGTTGAAAAGGTGAAAAACAAGATCACAAAAAGGGGATTATAGAATTTCATAACTGTTGGATAATTGATACCCATATTGTATGAAAAGGAGATTGAACAAGAGTGGAGAAGGAATGAAGAAAGTGTATAGAATGAATTAATGTTTGTTATATGAGTTGTGTCTTTACAAGCCTTACATAAGGGAGTATATATAAGGAAAATCCGGGTCTGGGCCTCTAACCGGGCCTGACAGACCCGGTTACATAAATGGACTGATAGTATAAAAAGCTAATCTAGAACATCTAAATAATAATAATAATGTACAATAATATGAATCCGCTAAACGTGTATGGGCCGCTGTCCAGACCCAGTAGTCGGCATATCGGGGGGTCGAAGTCCATATACTCCATCAATAACTTACAAGGGTTAGGGAGTGTATGTAATAGCTTAAAAAAGCACTTCTCGGTTTTTGACTTAAAAAAGTTAAAAGTAGTGTTTTCAAGTGACAACTTCTACTTAAAAATGCGTTTCTCAGCTTTTGAGAGAAAAATGCCTTTTACCTTTTCTATTAAACAAAAAGCACTTATTTTACCTAACACTATCAACTTTTACTTTTCAAAATCATTTTTTTTTTCAAACACTACTAACTTTTACTACTAATCACTTTTTCCAAAATCACTTCAAAATGTACTTTTTCTGAGTAAAAGCATTTGCTAACACTCGTAAGTGTCATTGAAAAGGTCAAAATAAGCTACCACGACTAAAATATGCAAATTGAATATAAGTTACCAATGTGGTAAAGTTTGGTATTGAAACGTGTTACTCAACTTAGCCATTAAGCATGCACAATGGCCAAAATGTACATATATTGTGTTCACACTGACTCATTTTCATTTAATGTAACAAATATGCCATTAAAATTATTGATCCCTTCACTACACAAATCTCAATTCCAAAGTTATTACGGAGTAGTTTATTATTCTACATGCAAGTCAAACTTAATCAGATTTTATGGGAGAGAATGATACATTAAAACAAAAAGAATACAACCAAATCGCATAATTCACATACTTTAAAGTCATATAGACATATTTTTCATACAATAATTGATTCTCATGGAATATAAATGATCCAACTTTTTTTAAAAATACATGTAGTATATACAAGATATTTCACTAACTATTTATAAAAATCTCATAATAATTTAGTTTAGTTGTTTACTAAAAAGAACCTTACTTTAATATGGGGCAAGTACTTCGCGCATTGTGCTAGCAAAACGGAGCAAAACGCTTCCGTCACTCCATCTTAAGAAAGCCCTAGAAGTAGCTGGCTGGAGCAGAGAAGAAAAAGAGAGACCAGAATGATGCCCTATTTGACCGAAGATCTCATTACAGAAATACTTTCAAGATTACCCACCAAGCCTCTCATACGATTTAAGTGCGTCTCCAAAAGATGGAATTCTTTGATCTCCGATCCTAAATTTGCGATTCTTCAATTGAAAGGAGCAGCGAGAGACGGCACCAGGCTCTTCCGCGCGACTAGGCCGCCTCAATCTCTAGACTGCGAAGGATCATCGTCCTATAAGAACAACAACAAGGGTGTGCTTCGAAAGTTGAGTTATCCTGCTGCAATAATGAAAGGCTCTCCTTCCCATCTCAGAACATGCCGGATCCGAGGTTCTTGTAATGGCCTGATCGATATTGTGTTTTTTTCCTCTGGTCGCGAGTTCTTGTGGAATCCGACTACCGGAGATTATATTGAATTGCCAGAGGCCCCACGCCATAGGAATTATGGGCCAATTCTCTCCGGAGTAGGTTATAATGTTAGCAGCGATGATTATGGAGTACTGAATGGTACCACGAAATGGGCAATTGTTCTTTTCCTGTACACAGTGAAGACCGGAAAGTGGAGAGAAATTCAAGATGTTGCTCCAGATTTAGTTCCTTATCTTGCAGGAAAGTCAATTTCTTGGAATGGGGATATGTTTTGGTTGGGTCAGAAACCAAATTCGGTCCACTGTCTTGGTTCTTTTGATCTGAAAGAGGTGAAATTCAAAGAAATCCAGCTGCCATATCCGTTACAAGGCCACAAAAGATTTGGTGAACCAAGTTTGGGAATATCTTCAGGAAACTCATTATGTGTATTTTGTGAAGCAATGGAGAGGAGGTGTTTTGAGGCTTGGGCAATGAAGGTTGACAAGGATGGAGCATCTTCTTGGAATATATTATTTAGTTTCCCACATGACAAATTTCAGCGTTACAGCCAAGCTTTATTCCTAACAAAGGAAGGAGAGGTTGTTATGAGGTTTGGTGGTATATACCTTTACAATCCCGAGGAGAGGAAATCTGAACATTTTCAAGCATATGGTTATATTGAAAGTTTTGCTGATACACTCTCAGAACAAGTGTTGTACATTGAGAGTTTAGTTTCACCAAATACTCCCTAGTTAAAAAGATGGTATAGATTCCTAATTACTCCATATTAATTTATGTTAGGGTAAAGCCCACGGCATGCCCCGGAAGCGCATCAATTTCATGCGATTTGATGCACCCTGTTGTGGCTACGTTGCAATTTCCTTGTGGTTATGTTACAGATTTTTCCCGTGAATCAAATCACACCGCCATCTCGGCCAAATGCGGTTAGGGTGCAGCCGCAACACGTTTTGCAAACTGCAATTTAATACCATGATCGATATTTGTTACGTAATATTCATCAGGTTTTATTACTCTCTTAATCTTATTTTGTAAGACTCATTTTACTTTTTGTGTGTGAAAATCAGGAAAACCTTCTTAAAGCATCACTAGCTTTTTGTTTGTCACTTAGCTTTGTTCTTTATCTACCATTTCATCTTTTACTTTCTTTTGGTGAATACCGTATTTTCTTACTTTTTGCATGTTCAAAACATAAAACACAATCACCACTTTATCCTTATTTTTAACCTGCTCCAAATCGAAAAAAGTTTGCATTTACTAATTTCGTCGTGAACTAACTGGAAAACTGAAAAATATCTCTCTTAGTAAACATACCCTAAACAGACCCTTAAAACTGAAAAATATCTCTCTTAGCGGCACGTGTTTTCCAACTCCTCATTATTACCAAGCGGCCCCGAAGTGGGAACCTGAAATTTCCAACACGTTTATGAGTTTTCAAAACGAGGAAATCTAAAAATCTAAACCACGAGAAGTTCCTATCTTACCGATCTTCAACAATGCATGCGACTATTTGACAGTTGACACACAGGTAAACTTATTTTATATTTCTTTCTTTGAATTCTAATAATTAATACGGAGTAATTAGAAATATGCTTGGTAATGAAGAGGAGTTGGTAATTAGAAAAACGCTTGGTAATTAGAAATATATTTCTTTGAAGTCTAAACCTCTAAATATTAGGAGATGTTTTCAAGGAACCTACTGCTAAATGCTAATGCTAATGGATTATAAAAATGCAAATCCACATATAAATTTATACGGAGTATTTCACATTTCCAAGAATCCATAACAACCTCTCCTTCCTTTGTTAAGCATAAAGTTGTACTGCTGTGATGATCCCAAATTTAATCATGTGAGAAACTAAATAATATAAAATGCTATAGGTACCCACATTTTATATCCCATTTGCACTGCATATAAAAACCCTCCCTTTTTACCAGTTTTTACCCCACCAACTTTCTTCTCCTGCTTCTCCCCTCTTTCGCCTTTTTTCCGGTTTCGAACGCAGGAGCTACAATGGTCGGACGAATGGAGGTCATCCATGGCACACCACTGCACAAGAGGCGCCCTTGCAGAACCTTTAGCCAAAAAAAATTTTCTTTACCGGTGAAGCTCTGTTTTTTTGCCTTCGAACATGTAGCCACCGCACAAGAGGCGCCCCTGCAGAGATAATTTAAGGGTTACTGGAGGAATTGGCAGAGTATACGAGCGGTGAAGGATCGGTGACCTGATGCCTCTTTTCTCTTCCACCTCTCATCTCAGCATTCTTCCCTTCCAGGACGCCTCTTTCTTTCTTATTTCATTTTTCTTAATTTTTTGTTATTTATAAAATGTTTTCATGTGTAACATGTGTTGTAATGTTGGATACTTGACTATTTTGTGTCATTATTGAATATTTAGTCCCACTACTTGGCACACATAACTATTGTCCATAACTTTGAGCATTTTAGTGTTTATGTTTGATGGCTTTGAGATTTTGTGTTTATGTGATATTATGTTTGGTGGCTTTTAGATTTTGTTTTAGACTTTTCCAATTTCAAATATGTATCGTGTTGTTTGTTTGACTATTTACTCTATTGTTGTGGATATGATATACGGAGTACTTATTTATGAAATTTTAGTGATAAACATTAGTGAAATTAGATGTTTTACAAAAGAGTCATAAATTGGATCCTTTGTTGGATTTGATCCACAAAAGAGGTTCAAGTTCAATTTGCTGGCTGTGTGAAGATTGCTGGCTGTGTGAAGAAAAGCTACTCTTTTGATTGCTATCTCTCTAATTACATTGTTGAAAGATAGAATTTATTTGGACTTGATAATCTATTCATGAGAGTTTAGAGTATGTCATATACATAAGTGAATTTTCAATCATCTTTCACATAATGCTAGTTTTTTATTATTCAATTTATATCAGTGTTATAGGTTGGTGAGACTCGTACATATGGTACCATGTAAAATAACTGGAGAAGTAGAGGTTCTATGGAGATGTTTATAGTCCATTCATATGCTTACTATTGAAAGTTAGTTTTTTAAAGTAGCAAATTTTAGAAATGGTTGTCTTGCTTTGTTTGTCATGATGGAAAATGCATTACTTTTCTTTGTGTACACAACTATATTTACATGAAAGCACTATGATAACTTGACTTTTAGTACACAACATACTTTTAAAAAAACTTTTAATATTAGCATATATGCAAAAACAACTACTAAGTAGTTATAAACAAAAGTCAACATTCACTCTCAGAACCCCTCGATCATCCTTAACTAGTCATGCAATACACAAAAACTCTGGTTCAAAAAACAGTTTTAGCTCCCCTAGCATAAGTTTTTTTTGGAGAATGATCTTGGGGGGGGGATACAAAAAACAGCCAAGTTGGTATGAATTCATGGTTGGAGTAAATAATTGATTTGTGGGGTTTTCTCATAAAAAAATATATTCAAACTCTCGCAGAGAACACGATAATGAGAAGAGTAGAGTCCCTCCACGGAGATGAGATTACCGTCAAAGAAACTTCTCAAATCAATAATCAAGTGCAACCTTTATTACTGAATAGCGAGAGATATCCTAAAAAATGCCACAAACAGAGCCTTGTTTGAGGATAGAATTCTCCCTAATCCAAAGGATTTGAAAGTTTTAAGCTAACTAAGGAGCATTGTATATATTCATGAAAAGAAATAAAGAAAGAACAAACAACCATTCAAACCAAAAACTCAAACTTGTGCACACAACTTGAAACTAGAAATCAAGCATATCTCCTAATTTTTTTTAAAAGTATGATGCTAATAAAAAATTACTCAAAACATAACATTCATAAAAAATAGTTAAAGTAGATTACACCTTAGCTTATTACCGATCTAAACTTAGTTCCCTTGAACCTCTTGTCATGCACACTGTATCAATCAATTGCCCTGTCCTAAACCCTCCTCACACTTAGAGAATAGACCCCATCTTTGAGGGCTCAAAATAAAATTAAAATAGAACAGGGCAAATCTGCGTTTTTCAAAAGTACCCTCCTCACTCTTAAGATGAGTTACAAATAAACACTCATGGAGGGTAAAAATTAATAGAGAAAAGTAAGAAGTACTCCCCTTGTGCTCAGTATTCAAGAAGATTTGAAAGATTAAACACAAATCAAAATTTAATCCAATCGGGGAACTCTGATGATTAACCTGAAAAAGCAAAAGAAAATAAAATATAATGGTGAATTAAAACAAACACACAACAAGTGGAAAAACAAGCAAAAGGTTTTTTTTCGCATTTTTTGAAGATTTTTTTTTTTTGAATTTTTAACCCCCTTTTAACACTTGAGTTGCCTCCCAAGAAGTGCTTCTTTAACGCCACTAGCTTGACGCATTTATCCACTTTTTCCTTGACCTTCCAACTCGCGGATCATACATCTTGACCCTCAGAGCTCTTCTTGTGTACCACCTCTATTTCATCAAAAACTTAAAAGTAAGAACAGAGGCTTGTGCGTCTTTCTCATTGCTAAATGGAAAAATAAAATAAGGAAAGTCATTCTTATTCTCTAGTTCCTCATCATTCTCAACAATTTTGAGCCTTGTACTAGTATCAGGTACATCAAGGAGAAAGTCAAAGACCTCCTCCACACTTCTTTTTCATTTTGCGCATAATTTTCTTGGTCAACTCGCACATCCAAAGTTTCCAAAAGTAGATCCAGAAGCTCCTCAATTTCATTAATTTTCTCAGGAGTTTTGTTTTTAAATTCTTCACATGATGCAACCACAATGATTGCAAATTCCTCCTCTCGATGATATGTCTCATCAAATTCATCAGGAAAATGGTGTCATAATTTCACCCTTTTGAACTTCACTTTCGCACAAAATGTCTCCCACTTCCACATTCTCTAAAATTGGCTCAAAGATCTCTCCACTTTCACTTTCAACGTCTTCAATTAATGACTCATTTTGTAGTCCTGCTAAGCTTTGTTTTTCAGTGGAGGTCCATCTCTCATATATGGATTCTTCATCAATTGTGGGTGCTTTATACTAGCATGCACCAAACTTTCCCAATCTGTCTCGAAATGATTCAGCTTATTGACCTGACCTGGTTGTGATTTGAGTTTCTTCACTTCAATGACCAAGTTGTTGATTATTGTTGTGAGAGTGGAAATTTGATCAATGCCTTGAAATGTAGTCTCGGAAGAAGATTCTCTCTCATAGTACTAGTTCTTAGAATTTGTTACCACCTTTTCCATGAGTGTTTCACTCTCTTCCGGTGTCATCTCGAGAAAAGAACCCACCTTTGAATTACAGTCCAACTCTCTCTTACTCACCATTTGAAGTCCATAGTAGAAATAGAGCATCAAGTCATAAATATTCATCAAATGCGTAGGACACTTGCTCCATAGGCCTTTATATCTATCCCAAGCCTCACTAAGTGTTTCCATCGGGGCTTGTTGAAATTGTGAATTGATGTTCTGATTTTTGCAATAGTTGATGGAGGAAAATATTGATGCATGAATGCCTCATGAAGAGCATTCCAGATGGTGATAAGGAGAGAGAATGGGAATAAGAAAAGCTTCACCGTGTTCGTTGGGACTCCACTGATCCGAAATGTTTGACATGTTCTATTAAAACACAATATATGTAGCCTTCTTCATGTTTCAAACTGCCAAATTGATACCACTTGAATGATATTAGGATTAATCTAAAAATCCGTGGCCTCAATTGACATAATGAGGATGCTATCATCCTCAGAAAAGTCCAAAGTTAAGGCTTCAAGCATTGTTCGCCTCTCCCTCATTATGATAGTTTTGGTCCGGCATCTTCTTTGGTCCAGAGTTATGTCTGCTTCAGGCAAGCATGTGTTTTGTTCTTCTCCTAACCTTAATGTGCAGACGCATCATCCCGTGTTGACATCTTACAAACTAATTAATATGTTAGAAGTTCTAATATAAATTATGCACAAGTTATCAATATATAATGCACATTCTATAACCTTAATATTTCAGGTTTAAAAATGAAAGATTAATTAGGAATTGAATAATTCCCAAAATCAAGTATCTAATGTCGCTTTAAGTTTTGAGAAATTTTGAATAATTCCCAGACAAGTGAATAATTTCCCAAATCAAGAATAACCGGATCCGTTATTGCAACCTTTGTTGATGGCTACAAATTTCGATCTTAATCCATGCACATATGGGTGGTTGGAATATTAGTGGTTGCATTCAACATAACTTTGCATCTTTCCTTCTTTAATTTGCTAAACATGGGTGGTTAACCTTTTAGTGGTGGGTTAGCTAATTTTTTGGGATATCCTTCCGTATGTGGCTCATTATTTTAAAAGGTTAATTTACCTTGTTGTCCTTGCTTACTAATTGTGCATATCAGTTGTCCATCTGTTTTTAGTTCCCTGTATTTCACCACATGGAATGCTTCGGTAGTCTATATATGGATAGCCTTTGATTTGTCCAATTTGAACGTACAGGATGAATTTGCATTTTGTACGGGAAGCCTTGTTTGTATGTGATGTTGGGAGTGTTTCGGAAAATAAAGAAAATTAATTAAATTAAATTAATTAAATAAAATGACAAAAGAAAACAGAAATGAGATGGAGCAGAAATTTGTCAAAGCTCGTGCTACGCACGATGTCCTTAAAACGTATTTGTTGCCTCCCACGGTGCTAGAATCGTCCATGAACTGTCCATTTAACGCTGCATTAAAAGATATAAACGTTGGGCATTTATTGCTGTAACGGTTCAGAAGGCATCAGAAGACCCCTACGTAGTTCTGCCCGAAGGCCATCAGAACTGGAGCAGTTCTGATGCGCGATCATCAGAACCGGAGCATCTCTGCCCGAAGGCCATCAGAACCGGAGCAGTTCTGATGCGCGGTCATCAGAACCGGAGCATCTCTGGTCGTGGCCTTCTGCCCGGAGCAATTCTGCTAACTGGGAAAAAATATACATTTCGGGAAGAAAACAAAAATTACCCGTATCTCTTGAGAGATGGATTTTTGGACGACATTCGTGTCCGCAGGTCGCCCGCGCACGCAAGTCGCGGTTTTTCTTCTCCGAATTCGGGATTTGATTTGCACCCCCCCCCCCCCTGCGCGCGTGGAGAGAGCCTTTACCCTTAAGAATCTTAACTCCATAAGGGGGGAGTCCCTTTATAAAGGGTTGCAAATCCCTTGGGTTTTCCGGTGTGGGAAATTAACACTAGAAACCCATCCTTTTTCCCAGTTTTTCCATTCTAACGGGTAAACTTTGAAAAGCGATTTCTCATTCACCCGTTATCCGTTTTGAGCGTACCATATATCGAATTGTAGCCCTTAACAAGGACAATCCGAAACCACTTTGACCCGACCCAAATCAGAAGTGGACCCCACTCAAAAAATTGCCCCAAAATAGCCATTTAATGCAATTTTTCACACATTTTTCCAACATGTGATCCCAACCCTATATATATATATAGAGGACAGATCATATC